AGTACTTGGGCATTTGGCTACATGAGCATTTGGATTTAAACTTTACAGCTAAGGAAATTGCCAAGTCAGCGAGCAGGGCATTAGGTATAATTGTCAGTAAGTTTAAGGCAGTTGGAGGTATGTCCTTTGATGTTTATAACTCTTTGTATGATAACCTTGTACAACCTATTTTATCTTATGGTTCAGCTATGTTGGGGAGCAAAGAATTCAGATGTATTAACATCGTTCAAAACAGGGCTGCACGTTTCTTTCTTGGTGTTTGTAATAAGACTGCAAATCTTGCAGTTAGGGGTGAAATGGGGTGGCTCTCCTGTATTTCTAAACAACATATAGCAATTATTCGTTTTTGGAGAAAATTAAATATGGCTGAACCATCAAGATTGACTAGTTGCATTCAAGCTTGGTCCTTGAAGTTTAGAAAATCCTGGGATAGTTTTGTCTTAAATTTCCTCAGGCATATTAATTTCCAATCTGATAATGTTTTTGCAGTTACTCACAGGGATTTTCTCGTTATCAGAGATAGGATAATTAGCATTGATCACGGATTTTGGTATCGAAGTTTATGGAATGATAATAGACAGGCCAATGGTAATAAACTGAGAACATTTAGATTATTCAAAAATACTCTGGCAGTTTCACCTTATGTTCGTTCAGTCTCCGACCGCTCTCAGCGAAGTGTTCTCGCAAAATTGAGATGGGGCTCTCTCCCCCTAGAGGTAGAAGTTGGTAGATTTTCCCGCCCCAAAACTCCATTAAATCAACGTATATGTAAATACTGCAATTACTCTGAAGTTGAAGATCAGATACATTTTCTTACCTCATGTCCATTTTATTCAGATATCAGATCTACGTTATTGTGTTTCGACAGCCGATGGCAGAGTGAGAAATATCCTGTTTATGCCAAAGCTGTGACCCTATCCATAACACGTTCGTAGCACTAAGTGTTTTGGTAGCCCGTGATAAAGTATAGAGTTACGATAGGTCGTAACGTTACTAACGCTTTGTGGATCTGGGCCTTGATTTTCGAAGCTGTCTCAGCGCTAAGATAGTCGTAAGTTAATGTTAAGGTATGGCACTTACGACTATCTTAGCGCTAAGAGAGCTTCGAAAATCTAGGCCCTGGACCCTGGATACTAAGAAGGTGACGATCAGTCTTATTACGTTTATTTGAATGTCTATGTACGACTATTTTCATTAGTATTTATATTATTGATGTTATTGATGATGTCACTATTGTATACTCACTGACCTGTACATAGAAGATAAACTTTGGTGGCATATCAGTGTATGTAGTCGCGATGTGGTCCGCTACCCTCACTCCCAGAGTCAGTTTGAAAATTTATGCAATAGATGTTATTCTTTACTTTGTGCAATCAGAATGTCAACAGGTGCTTGAAGTTCATGTACATATACACAGGCATATCGTTACACTTGCATGATTAATTAGTCATAATTTCTGAATATCCAACGAGAGTGTATACATTTCATTTGTGAATGCTATACCTAGCTTTTATTGCTTATATTTAATCAGTCATATTCTAGAAACATATTATGTTAAATCATTTCTGTGCTTTATGAGTAACCAAGGCCCGTGAGATCATCAGCTGTTGTATCCCCTGCAAGCGGACCTAGCACATGCACGGTGCGTGTGTCAGTGCTTGTTGTATAACGCCGCACTCCGCAATATTATACGTATATGAAGCCGGCTGTAAATAATCGAGCCTGGACCACCCAATCCAGTGATTGACATCATGAGAACCGATTTATTCAATTGGGATACGATGATACGCATCAACAGTCAGCCTATCTGACCAAAGGATCCCGTTAGTCGCATCTTATGACAGGCATGCGTTGACCAATTCTAACCCGGATCTTGTGGCACTGTTTAATAAATATTTTTCATTGTTTGTTCAGGATAAGATACGTGGCAAATTTCATATTATGAAGTATTGCACACAAACGAATAGAACAGGACAGTGAGTTGTTGGTAAGATTTTTCTTTTTGTCACCTGAAACAAATATATAAGAGTCATCCCGCGCTGGACACCATGCACGTAACTGTGTACATGTACTGATATATGTAATGACTGATTATCATAGGGATATCTTACCTACTAGTTAGTTGTGATTAGTTTAAATTAAAATAAAATATATTTCAGGAAGAGATTTTTTATGGATGTCAACTTCTGTATTATGAGGAACACAAAGTTTCCGAGTATATCGTTACTCCTTCATCAGGTGAGTGAATGGTATGGGACAGATAGCGTATAGCATATGGACATGTAACAACAACATGGTGGTCTTGTACTGGTTGATGGTTATTACTGCATGTTTGATCGATATGTAATTTGCAATAATGGTGTTGGTCTTTTTAGATGAAATATATACTTCTGATTAAAAGCATAGCTACCTACCTTATATATCGGTGAATATATTTACTAAAAGAAATAAATTCTAACAGTTGACTTGTCGCCATATTATTTATTACCATTTACAAAAGGAGTATTATTCTATTCAATAGTCCGTGCGGATGTATTGATAGTTATACAGATCGACCAAACCTAAGGCACCAATGGGAGTCACTGTGTTAATGCTACTTGTATTTGTTTTCGGATTAACCTAGTTTGTATACAACATCTCTTCTCAGGCCAGGTGAGCACTGTATGTGTTTCAGGGGGAAACAGTGGCAGAGTATATTGTCCGGAAGGTGGGGTGAGGTGAAATTGGGTTTAACGTCGTGCTTGAGAATATTTCGCTCATCTGACGACGTGCATGAGTGTGTATGTGTATGTGCGGCTGCTTGTACTAGCCAAGACTTAAGCTGGTTTTATAGTGCTAGCCCACTGAGATACCATGCCGCAGTGAAGCATGAATACCCCACTCAGACACATTATACTGACTCCGAGCCGACCAGTCCTTGTTGTACCCATTAATGCCGAGCGCCAGGCAGGGACGAACAAGTACCATATTTTAACGTCTTTTTGGTATGACGCGGTCGGGGATCGAACCCGCGACCTTCCGCTCTCCGGGCGGACGTTTTGCCCCGGAAGGGAATAACAATAACATTAATGAGTTGAAAGAATACAGATTTGCTGCTCAGAATGATCATAAGTCAAATATATTTTGTGAAGCATTACAAAAACTTTAGACAGTCTTATGTGTACTCGTAATAAACATAGCCCAGTGTGAACCCAGCATCATGGCACATTTCATCTAAAAATGCGTTCTTTGTCATCAACATTATCGGACATGTACAGCATCATTCTTCACATTATCTTTGCTAGATTTAAACAATTACAGTAACCAACCAACCAACCAATCAATCAATGTTGCTTATGGTAAGAGGCGACTAACGGGATCGGGTGGTCAGGTCCGCTGGCTTGGTTGTCACATGTCATCGGTTCCCAATTGCGGAGGTCGATGCTCAAGCTGTTGATGACTGGATCACAGGCTCGATTATTTACAGACCGCCGCCATATAGCTGGAATATTGCCAAGTGAGGCGTAAAACTAAACTCACTCACAACTGAAGATCAATTCTAACCGGATTTTCGCGGGTTGTTAAACAATGAACGAAGTGTTTTTAAATGGTAGTTGTGGAGGTATAGAACGCTACGATTGTTACCTCTGTTTAAGAAAGTTGTTAATTTTCATCGTATAACTTCTGCTGATGTAAACAGGTACTATCCAAATTTAGTGAATACTGTCGAAGACACTTGTATGCAACCATACATTTACCTCGTGGCATCACTATTTGAGAATGAGTCATGAACAAATGCTCATAATATACTCGGAATCGTGAAATTATTGTTGCTGGAATCAGATAGTTCGTATGATCAATGATTTGAACATGTTTTTTGTCCGCAAAGGGATATGACGGACCTACTGACTGAGTTTGGTTTTACGCCGCTTTTACAAAGGGATATGATGTGACGTTTATATTTCATTGTAATTTGTTTTTTATTCAACAGAGCTGCAGGTAGCTTTTTGGGTCATTGAGTTATGTACTTGTGTTTATCTCAAATGGGTATCCTAATTGTCCTTTGAGTAACCAAAAAATTGTACCCACCTCACTCAAACTCACTTGGGTATTTTGCTATTTTCGATCAATGTTAAAGCTATAAGAAAGTTTAAATGTTAATGTTTGTTATTTATATTTGATCTGTGATATGAGAAACTGTAAGAAAGACTCCAAGTTGCCAAGTTCCTGAAATAGAACCTCTCAATATACCTCAGTTATTATCTATCCACCGGTAGGAAAGCTAAGATTTGACTTTTTTGTGTGTATGCATGTAAGATCACATTAATTGAGTTTTACAAAATTTCAAGCGTACTTGTACGCAATAGACTTAATAGGAATTGAGTTTTCCCATAAATATTTGCGTAATTTACGCAGATACGCAGCTTATCTGTACCTCTGTTTCAATAGCTATAGGAGGTACAAGAAGTATCCCTGAAACGCTAGAAAAGGTTAATAACTACTTCCACATAAATTGTTTCATGTCTTCATCTTCATACAACTTCTAAATATCTATCAGAAACTACACAGTTCTGTTCATGTCCCTATATGGCTGCAATAGTGCCGACTGGACGTTAAGTTATAACGAGTGAGTGAGTGAGTTGGGTTTTACGCCGCTTTTAGCAATATTCCAGCAATATCACGGCGGGGGACACCAGAAATTGGCTTCAAACAATGTACCCTTATGGGGAATGGCACCCGGGTCTTCAGCGTGACGAGCCAACGCTTTAACCACTAGGCTACCCCACCGCCCCTGATTTACAACGACTGACTGACTGACTGAGTTGGGTTTTACGCCGCTTTTAGCAATATTCCAGCAATATCACGGCGGGGGACACCAGAAATGGGCTTAACACATTGTGCCCATGTGGGGAATCGAACCCGGGTCTTCGGCGTGACGAGCCAACGCTTTAACCACTAGGCTACCCCACCGCCCCGATTTACAACGAACACAGGCATGACAATAATTACTGTTTACTTACATTGATGAGAGCCTGCAGCGTCCCGACCTTATCGTGGGCTGTTTCGTCCAGTATGGTCATCACGGTAAAACCCACGTTTGTCCTCATGGAGTTAATTATCACCATCCCTATACACATTAGGGCTATGATGGAGTACCGCAATGGACAGCAGGTAGAACCTCGTCCAGACTCCCCCTCCTCAATCACTTCATCTACATCTTTCTGTCCTTCTGTCATTTTATTGTCACCTCTGGAACTGTCACCTGGATTTGTTCCTTCGTCCGTTGTGCCATCTCCTGGTGTTATTTTACTGCTTGAAGTTACATCTCCATCTTCATCATGACCCTCTTCCCCAACCTTCTTTGAGGTCCTGTTTGTAACCATCGTCATGTCGTCTCACAAGCCTTCACCAGGTAAACCAGAGCCGTTGTTAAAAATCTCCATTTAACACAAACTGTTTCTAAAATGATTGAAATTACAATCATATATCATTTCTAAGCACAGTGCATGTGTCCATCATCTTCACTTAGTGAGGCACAAAAACACTCACACCAGCTAGCCTCCTGTCATAGGAACACATTGACACAGGTAACTTCATCCGTGCCCATGCACGTTCTGCTGACCACGCTGAACTGGTGCATGTTACATGACTGGGAACGGCCCCTCTCCACGTCACATTCCTGCTAGTCCCAGTAGGTAGATTCAGTGCTACTGTGACAGGCTTCGCTGGTCCCTGTGCTTGTTATTGTGGTGTTATAATGCCATCTGTTGCGCTTTGGAGTTTCATCGATTAGAAGTATGTGCTGTGATGACAGTGTTCCTACTGGTGGCCCAGGCTGTGCAGATGGGACATTGTGTCTGTGGCCTAGGATAATTACTGATATGTAGAATAGTCTCCACAGTCCAGTTAATCACTTGGATTGTGAATCATAATGGAATAAAGGAATTAGGACAGCATACATGAATCAGTTTGATTAATTCTCATCACTATAATCATTTTGCAGGTTACATTCTTGCAGTTTAATACTTATTTCCGGTATCTATCTGAAATGGAGGTATTAATCTAACGGTTAATCTCCCCTCCTAAAATGTTCGTTTCCCAGCATGAGTACACATGTGAAGTCGATTCCTGATATATATGGCAGGAATATTGCTTACATTTGTATCAGGAATAAAAACGTATGTGGCGTGGACAACTCCCTATAAATATGAGAATACCTACGCTCATAGGTACACTTGGACACCTCCACACAAAGTTAAATTTGGACACCAACATTTACAAGTACATATGGACACTAATATTTACGCTAACATATAGACGCCTATGTTTACACTTATGGACACAGTCACTCAAACTTAAATAAGGACACCTGCGCTTACACCTACTTTTTGACATCTACATTTACATTTACATATGTACACCTGCACACATGGGCACATGCATTTACACTTCTATATGGACACCTACATTTACACGTACATATGGACGCCTACATTTACAAGTAACTATGGACACCTACATTTACACGTACATATAGACACCAACATTTACACGTACATGTGGACGCCTACATTTACACGTACATATGGACGCCTACATTTACACGTGCATATGGACACTTACATTTACACGTGCACATAGACACCTACATTTACACGTACATATGGACGCCTAAATTTACACGTACATATGGAACCCTACATTTACACGTACATATGGAACCCTACATTTACACGTACATATGGAACCCTACATTTACACATACATATGGAACCCTACATTTACACGTACATATGGAACCCTACATTTACACGTACATACGGAACCCTACATTTACACATACATATGGAACCCTACATTTACACGTACACATAGACACCTACATTTACATGTACATATGGAACCCTACATTTACACGTGCACATAGACACCTACATTTACACGTACATATGGAACCCTACATTTACACGTACATACGGAACCCTACATTTACACGTACACATAGACACCTACATTTACACACACATATGGAAGCCTACATTTACACGTACATACGGAACCCTACATTTACACGTACACATAGACACCTACATTTACACGTACATATGTAACCCTACATTTACACGTGCATGTGGACACCTACATTTACACGTACATATGGACGTCAATTATACGTGCATGTTGACGCTTTCATTTACTCGTATATATGGACCCCTACATTTACACGTACACATAGATGCTTACATTAACAAGTACATATGGACGCCAACATTTACAGAGACATATAGACGCCTACATTTACACGTACATATGGACGCCAACATTTACACGTACATGTGGACACCTACATTTACACGTCCATAATGACGTCAATTATGCGTGCATGTGGACGCTTTCATTTACTCGTACATATGGACCCCTACATTTACACGTACACATGGATGCTTACATTTACACGTACATATGGACGCCAACATTTACACGTACATGTAGACGCCTACATTTACACGTACATATGGACGCCTACATTTACACGTACATATGGACGCCAACATTTACACGTGCATGTGGACACCTACATTTACACGTCCCTATGGACGTCAATTATGCGTGCATGTGGACGCTTTCATTTACTCGTACATATGGACCCCTACATTTACACGTACACATGGAGGCTTACATTTACACGTACATATGGACGCCAACATTTACACGTACATGTAGACGCCTACACTTACACGTACATATGGACGCCTACATTTACATGTACATATGGACGCCTACATTTACACGTGCATGTGGACACCTACATTTACACGTACATATGGACGTCTACATTTATACGTACATGTGGACGCTTTCATTTACTCGTACTCGTGGACCCCTACATTTACACGTACACGTGATTACTTACATTTACACGTACTTATGGACGCCTACATTTGCACGTACATATGGATGCTTACATTTACACGTGCATGTGGACGCCTACATTTACACGTACAGGTGGACCCCTACATTTACACGAACACATGAATGCTTACACTTACACGTACATATGGACCCCTTCATTTACACGTACATATGGACGCCTACATTTACACGTACATATGGACACCTACATTTACACGTACATATGGACGCCTACATTTACACGTACATAATGACGTCAATTATGCGTGCATGTGGACGCTTTCATTTACTCGTACATATGGACGCCTACATTTACACGTACACATGGATGCTTACATTTACATTTATGGACGCCAACATATGGACGTAGATTACATTTACACGTACATGTGGACGCCTTCATTTACACGTACATATGGACGCCTACATTTACACGTACATATGGACGCAATTACATTTACACGTCCATATCGATTACATTTACACGTACATATGGACCCCTACATTTACATCGTACATATGGACGCTTACATTTACACGTACATATGGACGCCTACATTTACACGTACATATGGACGCCTACACTTACACGTACATATGGACGCCTACATTTTACACGTACATATGGACCTACATTTACATGTACATATGGACGCCTACATTTACACGTGCATGTGGACACCTACATTTACACGTACATATGGACGTCTACATTTATACGTACATGTGGACGCTTTCATTTACTCGTACTCGTGGACCCCTACATTTACACGTACACGTGATTACTTACATTTACACGTACTTATGGACGCCTACATTTGCACGTACATATGGATGCTTACATTTACACGTGCATGTGGACGCCTACATTTACACGTACAGGTGGACCCCTACATTTACACGAACACATGAATGCTTACACTTACACGTACATATGGACCCCTTCATTTACACGTACATATGGACGCCTACATTTACACGTACATATGGACACCTACATTTACACGTACATATGGACGCCTACATTTACACGTACATGTGGACACCTACATTTACACGTACATATGGACGTCTACATTTATACGTACATGTGGACGCTTTCATTTACTCGTACTCGTGGACCTCTACATTTACACGTACACGTGATTACTTACATTTACACGTACTTATGGACGTCTACATTTGCACGTACATATGGATGCTTACATTTACACGTGCATGTGGACGCCTACATTTACACGTACAGGTGGACCCCTACATTTACACGAACACATGAATGCTTACACTTACACGTACATATGGACCCCTTCATTTACACGTACATATGGACGCCTACATTTACACGTACATATGGACACCTACATTTACACGTACATATGGACACCTACATTTACACGTACACATGGATGTTTACATTTACACGTACATATGGACGCCTACATTTAAACTTACATGTGGACACCTACATTTACACGTACACATGGATGTTTACATTTACACGTACATATGGACGCCTACATTTAAACTTTCATGTGGACCCCTACATTTACACGTACACATGGATGTTTACATTTACACGTACATATGGACGCCTACATTTAAACTTTCATGTGGACCCCTACATTTACACGTACATATGGACGCCTACATTTACACGTACATATGGACCCCTACATTTACACGTACACATGGATGTTTACATTTACACGTACATATGGACGCCTACATTTAAACTTTCATGTGGACCCCTACATTTACACGTACACATGGATGTTTACATTTACACGTACAGGTGGACCCCTACATTTAAACTTTCATGTGGACGCCTACATTTACACGTACATATGGACGCCTACATTTACACGTACATATGGACCCCTACATTTACACGTACACATGGATGTTTACATTTACACGTACATATGGACGCCTACATTTAAACTTTCATGTGGACCCCTACATTTACACGTACACATGGATGTTTACATTTACACGTACAGGTGGACCCCTACATTAAAACTTTCATGTGGACGCCTACATTTACACGTACATATGGACGCCTACATTTAAACTTTCATGTGGACCCCTACATTTACACGTACACATGGATGTTTACATTCACACTTACATATGGACCCATACATTTACAGTTATACATGGACACATGCACACATAGATACATATGTACACCTACATTTACACTTACATATCATATGGACACCTACACACAGAGTTGCATGCGGACACCTACATTTACACTTACATGAGGACACATACATATGCACTTTCATATAGACACCTTCACACAAACCTACATATGTACACCTACATTTACACTTTCATATAGACACCTCCAAACTCACTTTGTCCACTGTACCCAGGTAGCAACTGTGACGTCACTACAGGCATGCCTCTTTAGATGGTCATTATATTGATGTAAAAAAACAGAGGACGATGAAGCGGAGGACAAATGAATATTGCCATTGAACTGAATCAATAACATGAATGTTTTACATGAACAATGCATTTTATTGCAGGTAACTATTATCGTATTAAAACATTTTGCATTTTGTCTCCAGCTGTAGATCTCAGCTCTGTGCTGCTAGGTACCCTGATTTTCAAAAGTTACCTAAATTTTAATTGAAACAGGTGTGCGTACCGTCCTCGTGATTTTACGAAAGCTTCAAGGGATTCGCCTGTGTGGGCGACAGTTTACTGAAAGTTATATACCAACAAGTGCAGCGACTTTATCAATCACGAATATACGGAAGCGTAGTAGGGCCACGATGAAAATTTTTTTTTGGCTTACTATCTCCTACGTAGTACTTACTATCTCCTACGTAGGACATACTATCTCCTACGTAGGCCGCCGTG